TAAAAAAATAAAACAATCAAAAATGCTGTGATAGATACTCGATAGCAGTATTATAAAGTATGTTTCAAAAGATTCATTGCTTACAAGTAACTGCTTGATCAGCCATGATCAGCTGACTTATTAGTTATATTTTCCGTACACCTATTTATTTCTTTTCAATATCAAAACTTTGGTTTAGTTATGGTATGTCTGTAATAAGACGTGTTGAACGATAAAATGTATTTAATAATTTTTTATTATATGTTTAAATCTTGCGAATTGCGGACTTTTTGACAGCAACATTGCTTTAAACTAAGGCATCCTTAATTAAACACCGTTAAAATTAAAGAATAGAGGTAGAAAAAAACAATAAATACTCCTAATAAATATTTTAACAATTTTTATTGTGCAAAACTACCAGAAACCTTCATGTCTTTTTGTCTTCTTTTTCGATAAAAATCCTTCAGCTGTTAAATCGACGAAATTTTACTGTAAAATCCCTAATATTGAGGGAAACCTTTCAATTCTGGCAACACTGTCCCTCCCATACAATCTACATCTACACCTAGAATAAATTTCTATGAAAATAAGGAGCGAACAACAATTATAGACGAATTTACAGATCGCAAGGCACAATCGTTCCATTAAGGATAAGAATTATCTAGCCAGTAAAACTAAATTTATTCAAGTTAATAAAGCTTTTCCGAAGTGCTCCGCTCTTTTCCAAAATTAAGTTTTTCCAAGATAACGTTGGAAGTCGTTCCGCACCAATTTACAACTTTCATTATCGAGTTTCCCTAATTGAGAAGTAGAGGAAGTATCAAATCGATTTTTTTATTTGCAATGATAATAGGTACCTTAAAAATTCTCCATCTAGTGTAGTAAAAATCCTTTCAAAATATTTGCACTTCTTTGAGATATATTCTATATATTAGTATGTAAAATTAACTTACAAGAATTCATGTAAGTTCCAATACTACACCCAAAAAATGCTACAAAACTCAAAAGTGATACTATTAAAAATCCCATTTTCATGATTTTATACAAATAAATGTACATACAACCATGCAACTGAAGGCTTATCGTATAAATAATATGCAGAATTGATTATGATCACTTTAGAATATACCCTGTTTCATCAAGTAGTCTTATTTATTATTAAACTTAAGATTTTATCGATAATTTAAGTTGTTTTTATCGAAATTATTATTTTATTCACTCAGCACCTGCACAAAAATTTGTAATTATACAGCTGTACAAATAATTGCTCCTTACCATAGAAAGTTAAACAATGATTTCTTCGAAATAATATGTATCACGATGAAACATATATTGTAGTACTAGCGTGCACCAGCGACTTCGTTCGCGTCGAATTAATCATTTGTAATGGTGATGATAAAGCAAAGCAAGAATTTCCAGTTTAAGCAGAATCGTGGTTAAGAAATTACCCAACTTTTTGGAACACCCCGCAGGATTTTTTAAAAAATTTCAAAATATGTAAAAAAACCAAATAAATTATGTTTGTCCAAACGTTTTCCCGAAAGACTAACCGTTTTTTAAATAACAAATATTGCATTATTTGAGGACCGTTTTCACCCTCTTGGAATTTGAGATTCGAGAAACCCCTTCTTATCGAACCTCTACACCCCACAGTCAATTCGTTTGCCAAAAATCAGCTTTAAACGTCAAGCAATTTAAGTCGTAATTACTCAATGGTCATATTTTATGAAACACCCTGTATAAATTTATAAAAACTCTTAAAATATGTAAAAAATAAAATAAAATATACGTGTTTAAGCGTTTTTTCGGAAACTTGACCGTTTTTTAAATAAAAAATATTGTAATATTTGAGGGGTGGTTTCACCCTCTTGGAACTGGAATTTCGAAAAATCCCTTCTCATCGAACTTCTACACCCTAGAATCAACCTGTATGCCAAAATTGAGCTTCTTACGTTGAGTGGTTTGAGCAGGATCGTGATTAATCAGTATGTCAGTCACTTAAGGATTTTATATATTAGTATAGATTATTGACCATTTTCAATGAGGAAAAAATCAATATGTACCTGCGAAAGCTTATAAACGAATTTCCAATTGATAAATTAAATAACGACGTAAGAATTCTTCGGGTAATATTGTATTGTTCAGCAATAAATCAATGCTGAATCTAGGTTATATTTTAAAGTCAGCAGTTTTGTAAGGCTAAATCCGCCTGTAATGGCGTTCGAAATTCTGTTTCTAACAATATTGAGGAATCCTTCTTTTCGAGAACGATTTTTCTAAAAAGAGAAAAATGATCTAAAGTAGAAAAGATTAATTTTAACAGGTCTTTTTTTTAACAGTCTTTTTTTTAACATTTTAGGTATGAATTAGGATGACAAATATCCTTGGAGTTTAATTTATTTTTTAGTACTTCTTACTAACAGTACAACAGTACTTCTTACTGACATGCTTGAAAAAGTGTGAAAATAAAGTTCTGTTTTAATATAAATTTTATTTTCAATTTATACTTCTGTAATCTGTACATTTTCTGTTTCCTGAACAGCCTGCAAATTTTGTGGAATACACCCCAAAATACACGCTTTTATGCAAATGCCTAATAATGTTAATGCTTAAATTTATTTTTTTTAGAAGAGAAAAACTTCTGAACCTAACGAACAATTCGTATTTATAGTGGTTTACAGTAATTTTGTTAAATTATACCAATATTCTCGTTGATTGTTTGTTTGAAATAATTATGACAATGTCCTCCAATGAAAATGCGAGTTGCTTAACTCTAATAATTCTAATTCTGAGCTAGCAAAAGCGCTAAATGCTTTACCTAGACCGTTATTCAGAAGCTACAAACTTATCGATGAAAATATGCATAAAAATTTCCTTTCTAGGACACAACCAGTGGATATAAGTACCAAGGTACAGTATCAAGTTTATTATAATACTTTTCTCAGCTTTAAATCAAATGTTTTTTGGTTTTTGCGCAATCCTTATTCCTTTTTCTTCTCGCTAGCTCATATAAGGCCGTAATTCTCATAAAGAGGAAGAGGAAGAGGAAGAGGAAGAGGAAGAGGAAGAGGAAGAGGAAGAGGAAGAGGAAGAGGAAGAGGAAGAGGAAGAGGAAGAGGAAGAGGAAGAGGAAGAGGAAGAGGAAGAGGAAGAGGAAGAGGAAGAGGAAGAGGAAGAGGAAGAGGAAGAGGAAGAGGAAGAGGAAGAGGAAGAGGAAGAGGAAGAGGAAGAGGAAGAGGAAGAGGAAGAGGAAGAGGAAGAGGAAGAGGAAGAGGAAGAGGAAGAGGAAGAGGAAGAGGAAGAGGAAGAGGAAGAGGAAGAGGAAGAGGAAGAGGAAGAGGAAGAGGAAGAGGAAGAGGAAGAGGAAGAGGAAGAGGAAGAGGAAGAGGAAGAGGAAGAGGAAGAGGAAGAGGAAGAGGAAGAGGAAGAGGAAGAGGAAGAGGAAGAGGAAGAGGAAGAGGAAGAGGAAGAGGAAGAGGAAGAGGAAGAGGAAGAGGAAGAGGAAGAGGAAGAGGAAGAGGAAGAGGAAGAGGAAGAGGAAGGAAGAGGAAGAGGAAGAGGAAGAGGAAGAGGAAGAGGAAGAGGAAGAGGAAGAGGAAGAGGAAGAGGAAGAGGAAGAGGAAGAGGAAGAGGAAGAGGAAGAGGAAGAGGAAGAGGAAGAGGAAGAGGAAGAGGAAGAGGAAGAGGAAGAGGAAGAGGAAGAGGAAGAGGAAGAGGAAGAGGAAGAGGAAGAGGAAGAGGAAGAGGAAGAGGAAGAGGAAGAGGAAGAGGAAGAGGAAGAGGAAGAGGAAGAGGAAGACAAAAACCGCTTAAAATAAAAATAAAACGCTTTATTCAAGACTAATAATTCGTAACGCAAATCGATTGAATTAGTATATAGGGTAAGTGGGGTTAGGGCTGCAGTTACGTCATTTTACAGCTTCCTGAAATCTCGGCTCGTATAATTGGGGCTATATTTGACTTCCGGGGTTCGCCTAATACCTTCGCCGTCGAGCCACAATTGCAACTTACCGATACCGTAAGATTTAATCGGCAATATCTGTATGTTCTGTGGGTGGGAATCGATAATCTTGACCCCGTTTTACTACCTCGATCCCAGGCAATATCAGCCGCTATTACAATAAAAGACCATTGTCGTTTATTTGTCTTAATGGGAATTTGTCAGGAAAATTGCCCGAATTTCGAATAGATATCATTTTTTAAATTAAACATTTCTGTCAAAAATCGGTAAGTAAATAATTGTTGTTCACTGCAAATCAGTGACATACTAGGAAAGATATTCAACAGAAAAATAGCATATTCAAATCAAGAAAGATATTGAAATACCGGGTGCGTCTCAAAAGTGACTCACCCCTATAACTTTTTTATTTTATTCAGATAAACAAAAGATAAAATAATACCTTAGAGAAAAATTACAGAAAATCTGCATTAAATAAACAAATAAACTAATATTTTATATCGCTGTTCAATAAATTCCATTGAAGCGATGTAACCAAAAGCACTTCAAGGATTTTCAACTCTTTATAAACCCCGCTTAAACTTCCTAAATGTATGTAAAGTACCTTCATCTACACTTTACAAAATTGCCTTTAATATTCTGGCTCCGACCAGCTTTACTTTGCATCAGCCATTTCCGCTAGCCAATTTTAAAGAAACTCCATTCACAAAGCTGAGTTTTATATAAGGAAACAGCCGTTTTTTAAGATCTGATTTCTCTTTTCCGTTTCAGCCTTTATTGTTATTGTTATTTTAAAGTTTTCGATTTTTTTTTCTCGCTTTTCTGTAGTGTATTTAAACTAAAGAGATCAGACTAGGGAAATAAAGAAGAATGCGATCTCAGAGAAATAAGTCAATTTAGAGCAATACTTATATGTAAACGTGTTTCTGTATTTACTTATTTCTCTAAGATTGCTATCAGTCGAGAATTCATAAGAGTCCATTTCACTAACGTTTTATGTAAAACTGGCTAGGTATATTAACACAGATGAAGAAGGAAATTAAATATAAAGAATTATACAATATCCTTTTTATTTTTATTTTTAATACAACTTTTTTATTTTTAAGATTTTGATGGTCAAACATCAATAAAATATTTCTTATGTTTGGACGAAATTTTCTCTAAAATAAAGACATAATTTAAAATTCCGTTACAATACGGAAATAGATTGAAGTTTGGTGATTACAGTGATATCTAATTTATATGGTTTTGTAACAAATTGCTCGCTTTTTATGGCAAATGCTGAAACTCAGTTAAAAATAAACATAACATTAAAAAACTGAACATAATTAAGAAATATATAACACATATAAGTATCTTTAAAAATTTTCAAGTGCTTTTTTTGGATTTATTTATGCTGATGGGCAGTCCTTATTTTTCTTTACCAAAATGTCAAAATCAAAACACACGACGTCTTCATTCAAATTCTTGTCCACAATTGAAAATCTTAAGTTAACAGTAATCTAAAAATTGTTTTATAGTGCCAATTATTTAAGATAAAGTAGTCTCATGATTCAGCATCAATTACAGAAATGAGACACACTTTTTTTGCTGTTTTTATATTTCTAAATTATATGTTTTAAGTACTTACTTCAGGAAATATGTTTGGTACGTCCATGGAGTATTTGTAATTTACTAGTTCGCCTTTTTCAATAGGACATACGGCGTTGGTTATACCATCGCATGCATCGTCTTGGCCTAAAGGATAGTCTAATGTAACACCATCGGCAGTTGCAACGGCCCTAGGTTTTATATTATCCAGGTATCGTGCTAAAAGAGTATATACAGGGTTGTTCACCACATACGACACGGAGTATTGTAGCTAAACGATGAGATTTTTACAAATTGTAAGTTTGGGGTTCGTTGAAGGACTATTAGAGCTACAATTTAAAAATATTTTTACAAGATACAGAGTGTCCCAAATAAATAAAAAATATCAAAATTGTATTTGTTTAAATGGAACACCCTGTATATTATTACATTTTTAGTTTCTACGATTAAAATAAAGGTAAATTTGATTAAGGTTTATTATACTTAAACCTTACCGTTTTTGAAATATTTTCAATTTTGTGAAATTGCAGTAAAAATTTTAAGGCTTCATTTCTCCAAGGGTATCAAAGTTTTTAATACTAAATATTTAATGAAGTTTATTTATTGATCAGTTATTGTGATGCAATAATAAAAATAATACTACCTTATACAGAGTGTCTAAAAATTTATTTTAAATAATTATTAGCTTCAAACGGCAATAACTTCTTTAATTTAAATAGAAGGCCCTGTATATTTTAAGAGAATCAGATGCACAATTAAATTGTCTATCAAATTGTATTATACCTATCCCTTCAAGTTTTCGTAGAAAATGCATTTTCTTATAATTTAGACCTCATTTATCAATATATCCATGGAATATTGACATTTTAGATTGTTTTTAAAGCAACAAATGTACAAAATGTACAGACTAGTAATATTATCGTTTTTAGCAAAACGATAATATTACTAGCCCATTTGTATGAAAAAGAAAACTATTTAAATCTTTATAAAAGAGTATACCATTAATTAAATATAACACCATTATTTCCGCCCATATACTAATTAATTACATACTTAATTGTGTTCGTTAATAAATTATTATAAATAAATGTGGATTTGAGTCAGAAATCAATATAATAATAAGTTATCAAATTAAAGTCTCTGTTGTTATAAATAAGCATTTATTAAAAAATGAAATATCATTTTTAAGGTGTTACTTTTTATCACACTGTCTAATGCCAATACAAAATTCAGTTTTTTAGTATTTGGAGCAATTATTATTAATCAACGCAAACAGTCAGTTAATGTAGTTTGAATACTGGAATCATATTAATTTTTTTTTATTTTTTTAATGAAATAAACGAATTATATCGACAATATCAGTATCTGTACTTTTTAAAAATTTGGTACATCTTTAAAAATAATCTAAAATGTCAATAGTCCATGGGTATATTGATAAATAAGTTCTAAATTACAAGAAAATGCATTTTCTACGGAAACTTAAAGAGATAGGTAAAAAATGGTATAATATAATTTGATAGAGAATTAAATTGTGCATCTGATTCTCGTAAAATATACAGGGTGTTCCATTTAAATTAAACAAGTTATTGCCGTTTGAAGCTAATAATTGTTTAAAATAAATTTTTAGACACTCTGTATAAGGTAGTATTATTTTTATTATTGCAACACAATAACTGATCAGTAAATAAACTTCATTAAATATTTAGTATTAAAAACTTTGATACCCTTGGAGAAATGAAGCCTTAAAATTTTTACTGCAATTTCACAAAATTGAAAATATTTCAAAAACGGTAAGGTTTAAGTATAATAAACCTTAATGAAATTTACCTTTATTTTAATCGTAGAAACTAAAAATGTAATAATATACAGGGTGTTCCATTTAAAAAAATACAACTTTGATAATTTTTTATTTATTTGGGACACTCTGTATCTTGTAAAAATATTTTTAAATTGTAGCTCTAATAGTCCTTCAACGAACCCCAAACTTACAATTTGTAAAAATCTCATCGTTTAGCTACAATACACCGTGTATGTGGTGAACAACCCTGTATAGTGTAAGGGACCGTGGTGACGCTAGAAGTTTTTTTTTGGGGGGAAAGACAAGCAAGTTTTCCAACTTCCTACTTTTTTTTAGAGGCCATAATACATGTAATACCTGCACTTTAGACGGGGAACTCCAGACTCCAGCAGAACGTTGTTGTTTCCAACCAAAATTTAATTAACAAAAAGAACACAAAAGTGTGGCGTGTGCCGGTGGCGCATAATTTTATTTTGCACGACAGTTTGACATCACATGTATCGTTGGTTGCCTAAAACCCACTAAAAAAAGACAAAAACCAAAAAATTCACACCCATAAAAAAACAAAAAAAGGCTAACCAAAGCAACCAAAACTCCTTCGTGCAACTTTGTGTCGATAGACAGTCAATTTTTATTCGCAAGCAATTACATTAATTATTAAACTATTTAATTATTAATTAAAAGCAGGATTGCACTGTTCGGTAGTGTGCGGTTCGTGCCAAGGAAGAGCGTATTCAAATTCTGAAATAACTCCAGAAGATCCAGTGGACGACGAAGAAATCGATTCTCGATTAAAAGAATTAATGACCATCGAAAATATCGAAGACATAGACATTGAACAAGAACCAGATGAACAGTTTGATGAAGAATATATTAATGAGTCAATTGATCAACCTTCTACGTCAAAAAAAAGCAGACGGTGGATATAAAAACAGAACAATTGCACAAGAACAAGAAAAACACAAATTTGTACTGGCAAATTATTCAAATTTACATAGAATCAGTTTCTCATATTAAATGAACCACTAGAAAATGTATGCTTTGTATTTAAGCGCTTGTATCTCGTTAACCTATTCATGCACGAAATCGGTGAATAGGAACTTTTTTGTAGAGAATTTAAATAGCTTTCTTTTTTATCTCTTGCAAATTTTCTGTACAGTGCACCCAGACCGAGTTATTTAAAAAAACCATAAAAATGTCATAATTTGACAGGATTTTCTAATATGGCGGCCAAATCCGGGATCGATAGACCGTGCAAATTTAGCAGAGTATTCAACAAAACAAAATAAAGAGAATAAGTGTTATTGCAGCTTGCCCCTAATTATTTCCATCTAAAACCACTTGTCGACTGGTCTATATATTCTAGGTCATCAAATAATTCTCAGTGAGTTTTGCCTGTGTTTGTTGACATATTGTTGTCATATACTTGAATAATTTGATGTGGGACGGATGGATATAAATGTTCATAGCTGGCGCTTTAAAACATGCTAATTTTGTTTCTCTAACTCTTACTTACGAGAATTGAATGTTACACTGATTACAGCAGCACAACCTAATATACACTCGCATGGAGTTGATTCACACGTGTAAGAATTTATTGAGTAACTGACATTCGGTTTGATTCCATCAAAATCACTGCCTGTAAAACAGAAAAAAAACAATTTTTTGTTAAATCACAAATAATACGTCATTAAAATAAACTTTTTTAAATTAGCTTTGTGTAAAAGTAATCGTATATCAAAAATTAATTAAAAAAATGACATTTGTATCAACAAATATTATTAAACTCATCTAGGTCTACTTATTTACCTTAGCCAAGTATTCACAGACTAATATTTTAAGAATTTAAGTAAATAAAACAATATAGCTTAAGGAAAAACACTATTTCATGTTGTACAGGATGAGTCTTAAATAAGTGCAAATATTTTTAACACTATGATTTTTTTTTCGCTAAAAAAGTTGAAAATATTGAAGTTTCGAAAAATATTGATTTTTTTAAATTTTAATTTAAATATTATATCACATTTGCACTACTTTCAGATTCACCCTGTATATTACTATTTAGAATTAACTTACAAGAATTCATGTCAGTGCCAATACTACACCCAAAAAATGCTACAAAACTCAGAAATACTATTAAAAATTCCATTTTGATGGTTTTATACAAATAAATGTATATACAACTGTGCAGCTGAATGTTTATAGTATAAATAGTATGCAGAATGGATTATGATCACTTTATATATACCCTGTTTCATCAAGTAGTCTTATTTATTATTAAACTTAAGATTTTTTATCAATAATTTAAGTTGTTTTTATCGAGAATATTTCTTCACTCAGCACCTGCACAAAAATTTATAGTTACAGCTGTTCAAATAATTGCTGCTTACGATAGAAAGTTAAACAATGATTTCCTCGAAATAATATGTATCACGATGAAACATATGTTTGTCTTAAATTTGTTAAATATATTATTTTTATTTAACCCTTGTTTTCCCCGCTTGTTTTCTAAAGCATAAATAAGAAAAAAACTGTGAAGAAAGAAACGAAAATCTAACCAAAAACAAAATCAAAACTAGTGGCTAAGAAATCTAGGCTTAAAAGATCGTAGAAGAAATTAAAAAGAGATTAGTTATTGGAAAACTTTTGTCGTAGAGTTACAGAAGAAGACCGGGAGGAAAAAAAACGGACAAAAAAAGGACAGTGGCGTAGAACGGGGGTATTTTTCGTGATACACGACACAACAGCACGTCGATAATGTGTTTAACGATGCTTGAAAGCAGTTTTTCCGCATGTTTGGCCCGGTTTTGTGTTCGGTAAAGGCGACCGTGAAAAACTGGCTGCCTCGTAATTTTCCCCAATTATAATGAGAACTGAGATTTCGGGGGCGGATCTTTGCTTTATATTTATTTTTCTCCTTATTTATTCCTTATTATTATTATTATGTACTATTTTTGATAGATATAAGGCAATTTTAACAGTTGCTATGGAAATAATGCTGTTATTCGTTTAACAAGCCCTTTTACCTTTTGTTCTGTACGCATTTCCACATCAATCAAACATATTTCACCACCCTTTACCTCATCAATCCCCAGATATCGGTAGAGGTTTCTCATTAGGGCTGTTCGGCCTATGAAATTCCAGCCTCGCATTCCTCAAGTTGTTTGATTGGCGTGGGGCATTCGGCTATTAGTTTCCAGTTCTGGATCCTTTTGAACCCGTTTGTCACCCTCTAATTAGGATAACCGTACATTAGAAACGTTTGTGGTGGTACACATTGTCAATTTATTAAAAAGTATTTTATTAGCACTTTTAATAAAAGGCGCTATTAGATTTTTCAAGTTTAAATATATATTATACAGGGTGTCCCAGAAATAGGTGCAAGTATTTTGACGGGTAGTATAGTTCAACCTCAGAAATACGCCTATGAGGTTTTTTCAGGAAATTTTTTTTTTGAAAATTCGATTTTTTTTAGTTTTTAGTTAAAAAACATAATTTGTTGATAATATGGCAACATAGGTACTAGATTAAATTTACAAGGAAGAAAATCCAGAAAAGATCCAGGGACTTTTTTAAAAAATTAAAAATATTGACTCTTCCTTCCTTATTTATATTTGAATCCGTTTGCCTAATACGTAAACATGTATCAGCTTCTCAAGAAAGGCCATCACACACTTATCCACTCAGAAAAGCGGAGCAAGATCTTTATCTACCTACCCCACGCTCAGAGTTAGTTAAAAGTTCAATATTATACAACTCGAAAAAAATGCACAATCACCTGCCATTTGAAATCAAATCCATAATATCATTTTTTTCAGTTCGCAAAGCATTGAACTCTTATTTACTAGACAAGGCTTTCTACGCCGTAAATGAATTATATTTTGAAAATCAAATTTGATCTTCTAAACACTGGTCTAATGTTTGCTATTGCTATATTTACTAATGACATCGAAATGAATTTATTTAGAGGTCATTGATATTTTACTATAAACTATAGCTAAATATTTTTGAATATTGTTTTTATTTTTTTGTTCTTTGACATTATAAACATTCATAAATGTTTATTTTAACAATAAGACTGACAATATTATTTGTATAATGTTTTGTATTATCTTTTGTTTGTTTGTTTGTGTACCTTGTTTTTTTACTTTGTTTGTTAGTTTACCTTTGTCTACAAATTGAAAAAAATTTTTACAGTAAAGGCATTTATTTATTTATTTATTTATTTATTTATTTATTTATTTATAAACTTACTAAATAATATTGAATCTTATTTTTATTTTTTATTCTTTGACATTGTAAACATTTATAAATGTTTATTTTAAACAATAAGACTGACAATGTAATTTGTATAATTGTTTTGTATTCTCTTTTGTTTGTTTACTTTACCTTTTTGTCTAAAAATTGTTAAATTTTTTGACAATAAAAGCATTTATTTATTATTTATTTATTAATAACAACCTTTGCTTTTCACAGCGTCATAAGCATTGATTACGCATACCTCCGTGACACAGCGCCCAACTACATAAACAATGATACACGTTTGGTATCTAACAAACGATTTTCGATCCTAATTCTGATTATGCTCAGCTCGTAGCTGATTCTATCTGTGAAGATTTAGAGTTGGCTCTAATGAGATTAACTAGTTGAGTTGATTTCAGTCCGCTAGCTAGACTAACAAGCTGTTATGTGCTTCCGGAAGCCCGAGGTCGAAGCATTAAGCTTGTTTAGAAGCATTCAGCAGGGAAATTTGTATTATTAAAAACGGAAATATAGTGGGAAAATGCAGGAGAAATAATATATAATATTTATATTAGTATATATATTACCGGAGACACTATTTGACACTAAATTCTATAAACCTGACTAAATGAAATTTTGGCAAAAATGTTTAAATTTGTTGTATAATTTAAGATACCGAGCAGCTCTATATTTTACTTTATAGAGCAAATGATTGTAACAGATATTTTATTTAGATTAAAGCTGTAAAAATTAGTTTAAATCGAATTTTATTATCGCTATGTTGGTCACATTGCGCCGTGTTCAGCAATGTTGTCCTTTATTATTTGGCAATTATCCTAGTGTCAGTCATTATTTTGTATAATATCGTGTTGTTGTTGAATCGTTGTGAGTAATTCTCGTTTTTTGCCTATTTTTATAGTCTTTTCTTAAAAATTGCACTTTTAAGCACAAACAATTCTTTTAAAAATTAAATTTTCGAGTTTGTGTGTTCAAAATATGCCGAAGCATTTAAACCCTGATTTAAACAGTCGAAGCAAAGAACTTGTAGCTTCCCCGTTTTTTTTAAACTATTTTGAACGAGAACGTGACAATAAAGGTCTTTTATTACTCTTGACTGCAGTCAGAAAAGTAAGTTTGATTGATAAGCACATTATACCACTTTTAAAGATAGTTTTTATTAAATTGTTTGAGTAAGTAGAGTGTATAAATTATAAATTATAAGTTTAAATGTTTCGAAATGCATGTTTATCATCAGGAAACTAGGATGAAATGCAAATTTTCTACGTAGGACAATACAAGTCGGCACCAATTTGCATAACCAGTTCCTTCCTGCTACTGGTAACCTTCCTGCAACTATAAGTGAGTCTTGCAATGTACAGGGTGAGTCAACGATAAAGATTTTCTAAGTTAGAATAGTCGAAATTTATTAATTTCTTTTGAACACCGTATAGTATATAACTCTTATTTTCTTTTTTATTCTTATAAAATCATATTAAATTATACAGGGTTGTTCACCACATACGACACGGAGTATTGTAGCTAAACGATGAGATTTTTACAAATTGTAAGTTTGGGGTTCGTTGAAGGACTATTAGAGCTACAATTTAAAAATATTTTTACATGATACAGAGTGTCCCAAATAAATAAAAAATATCAAAGTTGTATTTTTTTAAATAGAACACCCTGTATATTATTACATTTTTAGTTTCTACCATTAAAATAAAGGTAAATTTGATTAAGGTTTATTATACTTAAACCTTACCGTTTTTGAAATATTTTCAATTTTGTGAAATTGCAGTAAAAATTTTAAAGCTTCATTTCTCCAAGGGTATCAATGTTTTTAATACTAAATATTTAATGAAGTTTATTTATTGATCAGTTATTGTGTTGCAATAATAAAAATAATACTACCTTATACAGAGTGTCTAAAAATTTATTTTAAATAATTATTAGCTTCAAACGGCAATAACTTCTTTAATTTAAACGGAACGCCCTGTATATTTTCGGAAAATCAGATGCATAATTTAATTGTCTATCAAACTGTATTATACCACTTTTTACCTATCCCTTCAAGTTTTCGTAGAAAATGCATTTTCTTATAATTTAGACCCTATTTATCAATATACCCATGGAATACTGACATTTTAGATTATTTTCAAAGATGTACCAAATTTTTAAAGAGTACAGATACTAATATTGTCGATACAGTTTGTTTATTTCATTAAAATAAAAAAAAACTGTTTAAATATTTGTTAAAGAGGACCAATTAATATGATTCCAGTATTCAAACTACATGAATTGATTGTTTGCGTTGATTAATAATAATTGCTCCAAAAACTAAAAAACTGAATTTTTTTATGTGTATTAGACAGTGTGGTAAAAAGTAACACCTTCAAAATGATATTTCATTTTTTGACAAATGCTTATTTGTAACAACAGAGACATTCATTTTTATAACTTATTATTATATTGATTTCTGATTCAAATCCACATTTATTTAGAATAATTTATTCACGAATATAATTAAGTATGTAATTAATTAGTATTTGGGCGGAAATAATGGTGGTATATTTAATTAATGGTATACTCTTTTATGAAGATTTAAATAGTTTTCTTTTATATATAATGGGCTAGTAATATTATCATTTTGTTAAAAACGATAATATTACTAGCCTGTATATTTTGTAAATTTGTTGCTTTAAAAAGAATCTAAAATGTCAATATTCTATGGGTATATTGATAAATGAGGTCTAAATTATAAGAAAATGCATTTTCTACGAAAACTTGAAGGGATAGGTAAAAAGTGGTATAATACAGTTTGATAGACAATTAAATTATGCATCTGATTTTCCGAAAATATACAGGGCGTTCCATTTAAATTAAACAAGTTATTGCCGTTTAACGCTAGTAATTATTTAAAATAAAATTTTAGACACTCTGTATAAGGTAGTATCATTTTTATTATTGCAACACAATAACTGATCAATAAATAAACTTCAGTAAATATTTAGT